AGTGCGTGCCTGGAGCCAGTTTTGGTGATGGCCCACAACAACATACTAACACTTATTGACACTTAATTATTGTGAATGAAATGGATCCATCAGAACGGTGTAGTGCTGCTAAACGGGTTGCAACAGAGGGCCTCTTGAGTTGGCGGAGTTTGTCAGCCAATCGCTGGGGCCTACAGTTCTGACAACTGGAGATACCTGTGTTTGATCCCCACGAGCAATCCACAGTCCGTGCCTGAAACAGATGAGATGATCTGACATTTAAACTTCTCATGCCAATCCAAAATGATGGCATATGACTGCGCAGTGTCACTGTCTTCCAAATAGGATGTGCTCGATCATTTTTCATTCATTGATTCACGTTTTTTTGCTTGATTGATGAAACCACAGTCAGCCACTGCAGGTGTGAAGCTATGAGTCTATGGCATCACGTTTTGTATCTCTTCCAGGACGCCGTACCCATTGGCAGTAGTACGACACGGTGAGTCTGGGGCCATGCCATGATAGCTCTTTTGGATCGTGCTGCGTACTTGTTTTAGCAACTCTGAAAACGTAGCCGTGTGGAAATCTCCAATTGCTGTGTTCTATAAATTGTTGTCTAGCAAACCCATCAGCCACGCTTTGTTGTGGTCCAATCATTGCCAGGGGGGGCAATTATCCATGCCTCATCATGACACATGTGTGTGCCCCTGCAGTGAGGAGAGGTTTAGTGATTTCACCGGTGAGGCCTCCCAAGAACGCGCCAGGAGCTTGAAGAGGCTGGCCTGCCAGCAACAGCAATCACCTACAGCTGTGTCCTGAAGCTCAGAGTTGATTGCTCCTAGTAGCGATGCCAGGAGCCCCTAGTAGCGTCCTTGCTCCTAGTAGTACGGCCAGGAGCCCCTAGTAGCTTCTTGTTCCTAGTAAGGCCAGGAGCTCGGTTTCCCATCGCCCCTGAGGCCGTGAATGCTATGGAGCAGTATATGGATGCTGCAGATGCGCCTGATGCGCTGGTGAAGCTGCAAACGGCAGGACTTCGCCGCACCAGACAGATGAGAGAAAGTGGAGCTGACAAGTGAGCCACTGAAAAACACTTCTAAACTAGGAGACACAGGAGACACAGCTTGCTCAGCTCTTGTTGATTAGATCTTGAGCTTTTTCACTTACAGTGCTTTTGGGCCTCAAGACCAGATAAGTCCTAGAGGGTTGTAGACACTGAGGCGTTCGCTTATGACGTCGATTTTCGCGTCGCTTGTGCCGCTGATTTTCTCGTAGCACACCCCACCCCACCACGCCCATGATGCTGGTGATGCTTTGTGCGTACACCAGGCTTTAGATCGCAAATCCTTAGATCATAGAGAACTGTCTGTGTCAGTTGTGCACAGATGTCAGATGTGATGATGTGGGCATGGGCCAATCATTCCGTCTGTTGTCGTCGCAAGTGATCTAGTGTCGTTGCAAGTGAAACGTGTCGTCGCAAGTGAACGGTTGACCGTTGTAGAATCTTGTACGATGACACCAATCACCAACATGATGCCACAAAATTTTGAGTGGCACCTGGCAAGTTGATACAAGTGCTTAGTGCAGAGGCCAGATTGTACAATGACTCTTTTGGGCATGTTCAGAAATTCATCTCACTCAGCGGCGAGCTGTTCAGTTCGGATTGTCTATTCAATGCAGCTGGGTGGCTTTAGGCAAAAGAAACAGGCTGGTGAAAAAGGATTGAAACCAGCATGCTGGAGATGACATGACTGTTGCGAACCCATTGATCCCATTTACTTATGTTCTCTATGATGCTTTCTTACGGCATGGCAGCCGTTGGCCATGGCAGCCACTGCCAAGGCGGTGGCAGGAGGGGCCGCTTGAAAAGCTTGTTACTTCTATTGCTGATTGAGGGATGGGTCAGTACCTCAGCAGACCTTTTTCACTGACTTTGATTTCGAAGCGGTTGCTCACCTGAAATGATTGGAAAGGTTGCAACCATTCTTCACCTGGGCACTAGCTTCTTTGAAGGAATGTCAGAGTTGCACTGAAAGAAGCCAAACATCAAAACAAGATGCTGGAAACTTATCGGGTCCCCTATTCCTTTGCTCGCGTGGTTACGTGGTTTTCTTGATCCTTTCGTCCTTCCACTGAAGAAACCCAGCGAGGACATGGCATCAAGACAGCAACCTCTCAGATCGATGCTCATGGAAAGAAGAGCCAATGGCAGCAAGCCCTGCGACTTGATGCAAATGTCTCGGATGGTCCACGATTCGATTCGAGATCGCGTTCTCCCGCACATGGCATACTGAGTCCTTGCGGTTGAGGATCGCGAGCCTGAAAACGGTGAGGGAGCGTATGGGCACCTCCCACGGAGGAAGCTTTGTGTGATTTGAGGTCGCTTTTGGCAGATCTTCCTGCTCAAGAACTGCAGCCCACCATTGTCACCTTCGGTGCAGTGCTCAATGCTTGTGAGCGCGCCGAGCGCTGGCCACAGGCTTTGTGAGGGCTGGTCCAGGGCTGGTCTCACTGTCATCCGCATTGTCAGATAAGGAGCAAGTGATTTGGGATCTCAGCAAATGCAATAGATTTTAACTGAACCAGATCAGAGTAAGAGGTCTTTGATGTTTATGAGCTGGACGAAGACTACTTGAAACTTGCATAGATCAAACAAAACTTTGGGTAGCAAGAGCAGGAATCAAAAGCAACAGCTGGCTGATAAAGGCGGAGCCCGGGCATGACTGTCGTTTGAGACCCTAGCAGGCACTTCTGCTGCTGGAAGATCTCCAGCAGAAGGAGATACAGGTGGGGACTGGGGCCTTGGGTCCTGCGAGTGTGGCAATCATCCTCAGTGGAACGCATCACCAACCCCCCCCGCAACTCAGTGATTCTGATTGTTGTGATGCTCTTTCCTTCCCAACATTGTCAACACCTTAGATGCGGGCTGCCTTGGACAATACTGTTTGGATTCCTGCAATGGACCAGGATACCCCTCCAGATGCAACATTGCAATAGAGAACTGGAGGTCTAAAAGAAGAACTGGAGGTGACGATGCTTGTACAAATCTAGCTTGACGCTTTCTTGTAAAGAGACCTTCTAATGGGCGAGAGCTATTGGGTTCTTACTTCGATTATAGGAAGAGGTGCTTAAGCTTTGGAGCTTGGGTGCAGGTGCTGCAGTGTTGCTGCCAACCGTCTAAGTCTATGGCACTGGAGCCTGGGTGCTGGTGCCGATGCAGGGTGCTGCTGCTGCCCACAAATAGCTTGCGCTATCTGCGGGTAAAATTTCTTGTTTGCTACAGTGGTGGATCGCTGGGTTAGTGTCTCCAAGGAGTTCATTCGCTGCTGACCACTTATTATTGCGGCAATTGCACTTTCAAGTTGTACTTATAGGCCCACTTCCAGGACAGCTTATTCGGTTGTTGCTTTCCCAATTCTTCTTCCCAGATAGTGAGAGCTATTGTGGTTCTTACTTCAAGTGTAGGAAGAGGTGCCCTTTGGAGGCTCAGTGCTGGTTCCGCTGCCAGATGTGTATGGCCGTGTGCACTTTGGAGCCTGGTGCCGCTGCAGGGTGCGCTCCAGGGTGCTGCTGCGAGATCGGCGAGACATGTCTATGGCCATGTACGTTTTTGAGCTTGGGCGCTGGTGCGCTGCAGAATGTCGCTGTCGGATGTGTATGGCCGCTTGGAGGCTGGGCGCTGGTGCCGCTGTGGGGTGCTGCTGTTTACATGTTTACGGCAGTGCGCGTCTTGGAGCCTAAGCGCTAGCGACGCTGCAGGGCGCCGCCCACAAATGCTTTTTGCTACTTGGGGTCTATGTTGTCGACATACATGTCACCTAGCAATCTGCAAAGTATCACGGGCTTTGCCAAGCCAACGCAGTGAGTAAGATGATCATTGTGATGCTTGGTTGCTCACTGAACTCAACCCCTTCCTTTGGCTTGGGTCAGAACTGAAGGTCGACAGCCTTGCCTATGGTGTTGCCATCAGCGCCTGTGGCAAGGGCTTGCAATGGCACCGTGCTTTGGGCCTGCTGGGCGAATTGCTGGAGATGCATGCGACTGAGATGCAACAAACAATTCTAGCACACAAATCGGTAGTGCTGGAACATGTGGAACACATGTCATGGTTTTGTATATATGTATATAGATTGATGCGCCTTAAAAGGGTCCACTTTGTCCTTTGTTTGCTTCTCTCTTGCCCCTTTTTTTGTGCGATCATCAGATTTTTCAAGGTACTCATCCCACCATTTCAAACCAAACCACTGCTCAAATTTGTTTGCAGCTGCAAGTTTGCAATTCTGTTTGGGTTCCAGCAGCAACATTTTCAGCTCTGTCAAGGCACACAACCAACACTTTTTGTTGTTAGGGTCCCAGCTGCAATAGCCACAACTCAAAACGCCGTTTCTGAAGAAGGGTGCCAGGTTTTAGCAGCGCGGCGCCATGATGTTTTTGCTTTATTTTGATGGCCTTGGCTGTTTGCGTTGTTGCCGACAACAGCTTTGACAATGAAACTTGCGAACAAGACGACTTTGCGGCACTGCAGCACAAAGGACAATATCTATTTCGTCGATCTTGATTTGTGGCCCATTTCATAGCTCTGGGATGTTCTGTTTCTTTTTGCTTTCAGTTGGCAGTTGTTTATAGTTTGACACCAAACATTTTGAGCACCAAACTATTCTTAATATATATATATATATTATAATTCTGACAGCTTGATCAGTCTTCCACGTCACGTCCACATCCGCTCCAGGACAAGAGCATTCCGACGGCGGCGATTGCTCCGGATGGATTGGAACAGCTCCGTTCTGCGGGGCATCATATGACGACTGCACTTTTTCTTTTCAAGACCTTGACATTTGTACTCCTGTCCTGTTCAAGGCAATTATTGGTCCGACTTTGGAATAGATTGTTCCTCTGGTGAAAAAGTCCTGTGTGGGCCAACCAGCCAGATGATCTACTCAATTTGGAGAGGAAATCCGGATTCATCTGGTCATTGCGAGGCAGGCTGCGAGCAAAGTTGCTCCGGCAACTGGCCTGTTTGCATGGATTTGGCGCCCAATATCCATTTGGCCCACAAACTTCCAAATGGCATGGATTTCTTCAACCCAGAGTTTGGGCCTGCCTGTACTTCTGGCTTCAAGGTACTTTGTGGGCCCAAGGGCTCTCCGACGGCACCAGGGGTGTGGATGCCCTCTTGTGGTGGCACCTGTCCTCAGTCCTGTTCCGACAAGACTCCGTGGCCGGTTTGCCAAGATCTCACTTACAGCAGCTCTCTGGCACAAGTGGACCCAGAGCACTTTGGCCCTGAGTGCACCACCGGACGCAGGGCGCGCTGTGGTGTGACAGGCAGCACAGTTTTCCCGTATTGGTGGGGTGGCCCGGATGACAATACCAAACCTGGTTTGTGCACAGGCATGGGAAACATTTGCAACGGTATACAAGTCTACCCTCGCCCTCTGTACGTTTGTATCACTGGTGTGCGCAATGTGAGTGAGATCCCTGACTGGTGTGTGGGACAGCATTATGCGAAGTACTTCGGTTTGCCTTGTGCTGCTGGATCCCCAGGCTATAAAGTGCTATGTGCACCGCCTCAGTCACCAATTTGTGGTAATTGCCCTTACAACTGGGGCTCTACTGATGCAGGAAAGTCAAAAAGACCTGCAAAACAGCGGCGCGCTCGAAAAAGAGCTGCCACTGCTAAAAAGCAGGAGCAACAAACCCGAACTCGGACTGCTCGCAAGTAGGCACGACGCATTCGGCGACCGAGATCCGATACCCCTTGGAACGAATCTTAGCAATTGTTGCTTTTACCAAAAGAGAGGTTCCACAGTTTTCGGCCTTTGCCAAATGCTTTGTTAGTCCGGCGCTGCAGTCTATCTCGGAGATAAAGTCCTTCTAGCCACTTCAATCCGGATCTGCAGACGTGGCGCCGTGGTCTTTCGCGGCTGCCCGCTGCAGGATCTGTTCCACAAGTGGCAGAGAGTTTCAACCATAGTTCCCAGCTTGAAAGATATCTAAAAAGGCAGGCGCAGAATCACAGAATCAGAATGCCAATACTCGCATGGTCGATCGTGACACCGTGGACTTGAGGGTCCGATTGCCCAGGTGGAGGTGAAAGTGAGCGCGTTCAATGCGGCCATCACGGGCTGTGAGAAGAGCCGTTGGTGGACGAAAGCGCTGGCGCTCTTTGCGCAGATAGATCAAGTGCAGCTGGAGGCGCCCTTTGAATGAAACACGCGGTGGAGGGAGATTGGCCATGGGCTATTTTGTGCTGAGTACTTACCAAGCGGACCTGTGCATACAGTAAGCTTTATGATCTGGCGGAAACTATAATAAACCACAAATGATCGTTCGAGGAGCACTACTGAACGGCTGAGAACACATCACACAATCTTGACTTGATCTCAACAGACCAGGACAGTTTTTTGTTCTTCCACTGTTCTCCAACTGTGGCTTTTCTTCCACTGTTCTTGGGAGCAGATGGCCAGCCAGCTCCGCTGGTCCCCAGATCTGAGGAATGTCATTACTTATAGCGCCCTGATCAGTGCATGTGAGAAAGGAGAGAAATGGCAAACTGCAGCGTCTCTTGTTTGGAATGAACTTTATGAGGTGCGAAGGCTTTTTCGGCACGGAACGACCTCTGAAAGAAGCATCTCAGGCTTCTCCTCGATCAGATGGAGCTAAGGAAGATCCAAAGCAGCCTGGCCCAGCGTAGGGGTAGCATGTCATGTCCAGCATTGTGGAAATAGACTGCCAATTCTGGGCACTTTTTGGCAACACCCTGAGAGAGCCTACTACATGTGTGCAGGCTAGGTGCAGGCAGCTCCAAGGTCAGGGGTGTTTGAGATTCATATCCCTTTTTTCAACGTGGTTCGGTAGGGAACCTGAAACTCTAATTTTGCAGGTGGTTGGTCATCGGGGTGATCGGTGATTTGGTGACCTTCTGAAAGACAAACGTAAAGACCGCGATGTCTGCCGTGCTTCACCTGCACAAGGCAATGTCATCACCTTCGCGGCGGTGATGAGCGCTTGTGACGGTGCAGGACGATGGCGGCAGGCTAGTGGCGCATGTACAAAATGGCCTTCACTGGTGAGGATCCAATTTCAACATTTGATGGATCTGGATGGGCCACAAAAACCCAAGCTTTTGGCCCCACAATCATCCAAAAGCATCGTTCCAGGTGGGAACGATGGAGACCATTCCTATTGGCATAGGTATCAAAAAAAAATAAAAAGAGCATCAAAAAACATAAAATAAAAACAGGATCAAAAAAAAATAAAAAGCGAACCCAAAACAAAATATTCCTTGATAGGCCTCTTCTGCTGCTCTCCTGGCCTTGTGGTCTGCGGGTCCTCTGGTAATGTGGTCCCTTGGTCCTTTGGTCCCTTGGTCCTCTGGTCCACTGGTCCTTTGGTCCCCTGGTCCCTTGGTCCTTTAGTCCACTGGTCCCCTAGTCCTCCGGTCTCCTGGTCCTCTGGTCCTGTGGTCCGCTGGTCCCCTGGTATCCTAGTCCTTCTGTCTCCTGGTCCGCTGGTCTTTTGCTCTCCTACGGCGCTCGTCTGTCGATCTCCTGGTCCCCTGCTTGCGCAAATAGAGGCTTGATTGCTTTCTACTAGAGGCAGCTCCCTGGGAAGAAAGTAGGTACCCAACGATAAGGTTGCCGTCCAGTCATTGAGTAGCCCTACTCGAAAAATGGTTCACCAGTGGAAATAGCTCCCTACTAGGAGGGAGCTCCTGGGGAGGTACACTCTCCTCTACTACCCCAACCATCCTCAGTGGGCTAGATTTTTTTTTTTGATTACCTTTTTATTTTTTTATTGATCCCCGTTGAATATTTTTTTTTGATTCTATTTTTATTTTTATTTTGATCCCTTACCCATTCCTATTTCGTTGGAGGCCATTCATCTCAAAGGTCCAATGTTTCGCACTCGATGCTACTCGATGGGAAGTGCGGTATGCCTGTGTCATTTCGAGGTGGGAATGGTCGAAGGGTGAAACATGAGTCTCAGAATCTTCCGAAGACGTTCGGTGCCCAGAAAGAAAAAGCTTGCTCAATGGTTTTTAGACCAATCTACTTTGAGGTCCTTGAGGTTCAACTCCCAAGACCCTGATCTTTTCATAAGGTTTTGGGGGTCATGGGACATCTTGATCGAATGCAGAAAGACTGTTTTTTTGACTTTGAAGACTTTTGACTTTGGCACAGCCTAATGTGAATTTTCCGAAGAATCACACGTGCAGCGAAAAAGCACTTAGCACTTTCTTGTTATATACTAGTAGCGATGCCCTTGTAACTAGTAGCGATGCCCTTGTTGCTAGTAGCGATGCCCTTCGTGCTAGTAGTAGCGATGCCCATGTCAACTTGTTATTACTAGTAGCGATGCCCTTGTAACTAGTAGCGATGCCCTTGTTGCTAGTAGCGATGCCCTTGTTGCTAGTAGCGATGCCCTTGTTGCTAGTAGTAGCGATGCCCATGTCAACTTGTTACTACTAGTAGCGATGCCCTTGTTACTA